GTGAAAAATATTTTTTAAAATCTAGAAATTATAAAAACATCTCTAATATTGCATTGGCTAGTATTAGATATGGTGTTAGTTTAAGAGGACCTGCAGCCATAGCTACTGCAGCATGGGTAAAAGAACTTGTATCCAACAATGACAATAGATTAATCATTAATCTCAGTAAAATTGGGAGAGCTAGAGATAAAGTTATGAATCAAGTGGGTAATCAGTTTAATAATTACTGCAATAAAGAGATTATAGACTGTATATTTTTTGATGGATAAGAAGATCTGACTGAAGTATTGTTAACTGTAGATAGATCAAACAGACAGTATCCCACTAAAGTTAAAGGAGAACATTACACTATTTGTTCCAGTAATGGCATTTATTTTATTTCACGCCAGTTAAAGAAGAAAAAAAACATGCTGAAATAATAGCAGATAAAATTTTTGAGCATACTAAAAAATGAGAAAAATTAGCACATACTTAGCAGCAATTGGTGGAGACCGATGTAAAAGGTAAATGTTAAATTGGATAGTCTGTGTACTACACACAGTTACCATTAAAAAGTCTAATTAATTTGTTAGATGGGAAACCTAAAAGCAGTAAAAAAATGGAGTGGACCAATTGGAAGCTTACTTGAAAAAGTAACCAATCTTTTAGTTAATCTTTTTTTTACCGAGGTGAAAATTGGTGAGTTTCTTATTAACTTTAATAATGATTTGGTGAAAGACCTTTCTATTGATCAGTATTATAGCTATCAAATACTTAAAACTATACACAGTGGTCATGTTCCTTGCAACTAGTACTTTATAAAATTGGGCTTTTTAATATAGCCAGATGGCTAACAACAGCCAATTAAATCTGTAGAATTCAGGTATCTCATGGTCTTCAAAGCAATGCAACCAAAACTAAAACTTATAGAGTATATTGTAGGAGTGTATTACCTTGTCTAGTTTAAAATCAAAATTAAGCATAGCTAGAAAGAAGGACCAAAACATGTTTTTTACCAGCTTTAGTTACTTCAACACCAGTCACTAGATATTCAGAGTAAAGTCATTCCACCTACAAAGTGGTCTGCCTAATATTCCTTTCTCCAAGTTTATTCTCTAAACTATGCTTTGTTCTGAGAAGAAAGAAGAGAGAAGTTTCAGCGCATAACAAATTTTTGAAATAATATACAAAGGTGATGAAAATGTACAACTAGAAGATCTATTTGTTTGACCAAGAAGACACCAGATATCAACACTAAAGCAATTTTTTTTAAAGATCTTTATGAATGGAATGAAGCTTTTGAACCACAATCAAATGTTGCCACATCATGCTGTCAAGTGTAAAAAATGTGTAAACAAAGTCACCCAGGCATGTAAAAATGTTTTTTACAGAAGATAGGAGAAATGGTTAGATTAAAGGACAAAAGTCATTACCGAGGTATTTGGTAAAACAGTGCCTGATTCCCTTGTAGCCAAAACTTTTTTTTTTTAATTACCAGTTCAGAACTTTTAATGTTAAACCTTACCTTTTTCAGTTATGCAAAGCAAAATTCAATTTTCAAAAGTATGACAGCTTTTTTTAATTTTAAAAGCCAAAATTTTTTTTTTAATTATTATTTGATAGACTGCCTACCTAAACCGAACCCTCAGTCGATGTGACAGCACTTCGTTGCAAGTCAGGCTATTTGTCAGTCTATGTAGCAGCACTCTGTTGCACATCAGGCTATAAGATAGTCAATGTAGCAACACTTTGCACATATTTTACAGTTAAAAAATGAAAATAAAAACATTTAGAATGTTCTTTATTTTTATAAAATAAAATATAAACATTCAGAATATTTTTAAAAACATTTAGAATGTTTTTTAAAAAAATTCTAGTCTTTTAATTTGTGGTTTAATTACTTCCTGCATTTAAATTAATGTGTTTTGACATAATCTAACCTTAATTTTGTCAGCTTTAAAACTACAAACAAGCAAAGAGTCATTTTTTACCACAAACACATTTTCTTAGTTGTAAAGTACTAGGCAGGTACCATCACCCAAATTTTTTTCTTAGAACAGCCCCAATATATATATAAAAATTATAAAATACCTGTATATATATATATTGTATATATTATATATATAGAGCTCAATTTAATTTTTTAAAAAGTCTCTGACTTAATGCTTGAACAAAACTTGTTTGGGTCGGAGAGTG